GATGTTGGGGGAAGAGTGAAGGCAAGAGGAGAAGGGGACGAGAGAGGATGAGATGGATGGACAGGGTCATCGAAGTGACCAACATGGATTTGACCCAACTCCGGGAGGCAGTGGAAGACAGGAGGGCCCGGCGTGCTCTGGTCCATGGGGTCACGAAGAGTCGGACACGACTTAACGACTAAAGAACAACAAAGGGAGGGGGGAGATGACACTCTGCACAAATAGAAATAAAGGTGATGTAGGTTGTTACGTGCCACCTTCAACAATGGAAGCCCTAAAAATTAATGACCTCCAAAAGGCCCTATCATTTAGTTTATTCATTTATTTATTCATTTATTAGACTTTCTACCCCGCCCGCTACTCTGGGTGGCAAAGTGTTCATGTCTTCCAAACTAAAGGCTGTAGACTCCTTCACTGAATCAATTCACATCATGTCTGGTCTCCTCCTCATCCTGCTTGCCAGTCTTCCTAGCACTTCTGCCTTTCGCCCAGCCTTTCGCCCATCCAAAGTACAATAGTCTCAGACGGATCACTTCTAACGAGAGTTTGGGCTTGATCTGGTCTAGAAAACACTTATTTGTCTTCCTGGCCAGCCATATCCCGCGCTCATATTTGTCCTTGTTCTGTGCCATCAAGTCAGGAGCTGACTCAAAGCAATGCTAATAGGGCTTTCAAGGTAAAGAGAGATATTTAAAGAGGAATACAAATGAAATAGGGCTTTCAAGGTAAGAGATATTTAAAGAGGCTTGCAGGTGCCCTGGTCTTGAGTGGTCAGCTAAGAGCCATTAACTTTACAAAAGACCTACTTCTCTGTTGTTGATACAGGCTGATACCAGCGGCTTGCATTTTTATTTTTTTACTCTCCAGGAAGAGTGCTAGTTATGGAGACCGACATAACAAGAACCTACAATGGAAGGCTCCATGTACTGAGAACAGAGACTATTATTCTCTTGAAAAGCTGAATAGCTCAGCGGGTTAGGTCTCTGGCTGCAGAGCCAGAGGTTGGGTGTTCGATTCCCCCATTGGGCCTCCTGGGAGAAGAGCCAGCCTGAGTGGCCTTGGGCCAGCTGCACAATCCCAGGGCACCCCCAGAAGAAGGAAATGGTAAACCGCACCTGTGCATGCTCTACCTGCAAAACCCTAAAAAGGAGGATTGCCGTTTATTAGAATCGACTTGATAGCACATTATGACTATTATTTATAATATTTTATGTTATGTTATAATGCTGTAATTTGTTTTGTTTGCTTTTACATTATTTTTGGAGTTTGATGCTGATTTAACGTTCTCTTATTAAATCTGGTGACTGTTGTTTCATTTTGTTGCAAACCGCCCAGAGTAACCTCTGTCCAGATGGGCAGTCTGTGAGTCAAAGGAACAAATAAATATTGTACTTTACAGCGGATCATGGCCCTGACAGCACTGACAGAGATTATTACCATAACGGACTACATAACCAACTGAGCCAGGGCATGGAAAGTTCCTTTTGGACAGCTCCTAATAAAAAAAAGACTATGACTCCCATCATGCTCTAGTGTGGCCTTTTGCTGGAGGAGGATGGGAGTCCCAGTCTAAAAAAGTAACTTTTCCAACTCTTGAATAGGACCAGGCTGGATTCAATCAGAGGAGTCTCGTTTTTCCTGCACATCTATGTATGCCAACACCCTCCTGGCCCCATTTACACCACACAAATACCCTGAAAATGCCAACAAGAAGCCACAGGGCAAAAAATCATTCTTTGCACCATATAATTGCCTGCGAAACCCCCCAAAATCATCATCCACCCCATGGCTTGTGAAGGATCTTGCTGCAAGGTTTATTTCCAATGTCCTTCCTCTTACAAGGAGGAGAAACAGGAGCAAGCCGCCTGGGGAGCCTCTAAGCATGCACAGAGTGCAACTAAAAGCAGACCCAGAAAATGCCAGCGAGGCTGAACCTCCAGGGAAGGGAGCTTGAAAGCCAGAACCTGCCCTGTTCCCCATCAACAAATCCCCTTCTGGGGGGAAGAGATTCCAGGGCCTGTAGTCCCAATTTTTTTTCTTTTTTTATAAAAGAAAAAGTAACTTTTTCCCCGGGGGGGGAACTGGTGCCCCCACGTGAGTCCACCGGGGAGGGCAGGAAAAGGGGGCGCAAGGCCGCGCGGGCGG